AAATTTCAAAACATGTCAATCAGAGGGCAACAATGGTACACATGTTGTGTATTGTCATCCCCAAATTATTCACTCAGAACACAAGATATCTTCATTCATTTTTCCAGACAATACCAGCATAAACCCTTCTCTTCAGTAAATTCAGAGAAATCAGTAGTATAACTATCTTAACTGGCATACAGATATAGATAGATAGATAGATAGATAGACAGAGACAGAGATATACATACATATGTTGTTTCAGCTTCTAACACTAGTTTACACATGTGTGTCTTATTTGTTTCACTTACAAGTATGGTCTCAAGTTGTATCAATTTGCCTATAAAAGTGTCTAGTTTATCCTCCTTTATGGCTCAGTAGTACTTCATTGTATAAAAATATTACATCTTTTGTATTCATTCCTCAGTTGCTGGGCAATTATGTCGTTTCCAAAATCTGGCTGTTACAGCTGTGCTGCAATAAACATGGGTGCACATATATCACTGTGGTATGTTGTGTTTAATTCTTTTGGGAAGACACCCAGAAGGGGAATAGCTGGATTGTGACCTCTAGTCCTAGATTTTTGAGGAATCTCCACACTGATTTGCACACTGGTTGCAGCAGTCTGCATTCCCACCAGCAGTGGGAAGTTTTCTTCTTTCCCTGAAGTTCCATGCAGCATTTGTTATTGCTTGATTTCTTGATAATGGCCAGTCTTTCTGGGGTGAGGTGCGATCTCAGTGTTGTTTTAATTTGCATTTCTCGAATGACCAGTGATGTTGTACATTTTTTTCACATATTTCTTTGCCGTTTGCATTTCTTCATTTGACAAGTGTGTATGAATCTCATCTCAGATTCCCATTTTTGGATTGGGTCTTTAAATCTTGGAGGAATTTTTTTTTTTAGTTCTTTATATATTCTTAATAGTAATCCTTTGTCTGAGGAACAGCTGGCAAACATTTTCTCCCACGTTGTGGGTTGTCTCTTTACTCTGTTGGTTTGTTGTGCGAAAGCTTTTTCATAGGCTGAGATCCCAGTTGTTAATTCTTTGTAATAGTTCTCACAGGCATATATCTAAATAATTCTCCATTTTGTAAAATCTTTGTTAATATATTTGTGTTTACACTGTTTATCTAATTAAATCTTACTAGCTCAATTTGATAAGCAAGCTTTAAGAGATATTCATTGAGTGATCACTATCTACAGACATCATATAGTTGGGATTTTATAACAACTACTTATCTAAAAAGTAGCTATCATGGCCTACAATTCGATTAAATCAACGATCCCAGCATCGTCAATATTTTACTTTAAATTTCAGATTATTTTTTAACATTGGTTTTGGATGTGTGAACATGTGTGTATATATGTAACTTCTATTGAATTCCGGTTCTTCTTCTGAAAGACTTGTAGATTTCCCCCAAAAGGCTCAGTTTTTAAGGCATCATTCTAAATTGATCCTTAAAGAACTTTTCTACTTATGTGAATTCAGCTAATACTGACATTTAGACAAATTTAAGATCTTTGTTGCTATGTCAAGCTAGGAAACAGACTACTGAATCAAAATAATCTTACTACATTCAGCTGTTTCTCATTTAAGCTTTGGATGGAAAAAACATCACTATTTGGTTTGCTGTTTAACTGTGTCAAAGGCCTCCCACTTGTAAAAAAAAAAAATTCTTTCACTCTAAAGAATTCCTTCAAATCTGATTTGCCTTTTATGTGCCTTTGGTTGTGTTTGTGGCTATTATATGAACTTATTATTTGCTTTGCACAGACAATTCATGGACTTGTTCCTGGGATCCTAGCATCTCACAGGAGACATAAGGTTTTCTGAGAGTTAGGTTCAAATAATGACAGCCTTGACACAGAACACTCCAGAAAGTTCAAGAAGTGTTTTGTCATAAGTAACTTTCCTTTGAGATATTGGATTCCACTCAGTAAGGCTATAAAAGTTCTTCCTATCATTGTTCTCTTAAAATCAGCTGGTTCTGGCTAAGCATTGAGAACTTTATTTGACTTGATAAACTGTCACTCAGTTTTGAATAGGGTAGCTTCCCATTTTTTTTGTTTTAGACTTGAATAATTATAATAATTCAGTTGAGAAAGGTCTGAGTAAGAGATAGTTTGTAAACACAAGATATGAAGGTTATGACATGAATTTCTTATGTCAAGGAGGGATAGACAAGCATTAATTTTATTTGTAACCTATTATCTAGGATGATTTCTGACTAAGGTCTATAGAAACTTTGTGTGTTGGTGGAAGTTTTATGACTCTCTTAAATCCAGAAGGAACGATGAACCTTCCAATGGAGGAAAAGGAAAGTTATTGGCCTCTGATTGATATGACATCATGATTAAGAATATAAACTGTAGGTGCTGAGGATTTAGCTCAGCAGAGTAAGTGCCTGCCTGGTAAACGCAAGGTCATGAGTTCAATCACTGGTACCCCCCAAAAAAATATATATATATATAAACTATAAGGTAGATAGAAATAAGTAACCTAAAGCAAATAATTCTTTTAAAATACAAATTTCTCAGTTGTCAAACTGGAGTTATGTAAAAGGAGCCTATGACAAGATTACCATGAATGCAATCAACCTGTGAATGACGTTATTTAAATGTCACAGTGACAAATATTGAGAAAGTTGAAGGATTATTTGTCTTCGTTAGGAAAATAACAATAATCTAATCTCCTAGAAGTCACATACACAAAAGACTATAGTTAAGCTTCAACTAGCAAATATTTATTTATTGAATATATCCACTTCATCTAGGATGTGCACCTCAGCCCACAACACACCTAGTACTGTATAAAGAACTAAATGATAAATTTTTTTTTGTCTTTTTTCCTTTTTTTTTTTTTTATCGGTACTGGGGATCGAACTCACGACTGCCTGCTTGCAAGGCAGGCGCTTATGCCGCTGAGCTAAATCCCCAGCCCCTAAATGATAATTTTTAAAGTATATTTCTAGATGTAATTGTCAGAGATTGGATACTCTGTAAACAAAGACGATTTCCTGATAATTTTAGTTTATAACTAAGTAAAATCTTTTCCATTCTCATCCTTGTCCAGCTCTTTTTAAAAACCAAAATCTCTACTCTGCTAAGCCACACTTTAATATAAAATCAAGTATGATGCAAAAATATTTTCCAGAATATCTATCATAATTGTTTTCCAACTGTCACTGATGTTTAGCCACTGTTAAATGGCAGCTTCTCTAGCTTTCCCCACTGCTTCACACGGAGTTGTTTATAATTTAAATAGAGGTCTGGTGTGTAGATTATTTTTAAAACCACTTTAATTAGTATTATTTAAGTCTTTGATGCCTGCAGTGGGTAATACAGGGCCAGTACTGTCACCTACATGTCATTCCTGCCCCTACCACCTATGCCCTTCTTTCCCTGTCACAATAATTACATTTTCAATATGACATTTTCTATACTTCTGAGCATACTAATTACATAATTTCACAAATGTCATGAGTACTGTCTATCAAAATATAGCATACGCCCTGCTCCCAATGACTATCCAATTTGACTTATAGTACAGAATAAACTAAAATTGTTTTTGACTGCAAAAGCAATGCTAATTTTTAATTTAATAGTATTAATTATCTGAAATATCCATAAAATTTTCTGATAATGTGGTTCATCATTTAATAGGTTAAAATATTTGTTTTCCAAAGGTCTGTTGTTGTTGTTATTGTTGTTCTAGATCAACTAACCAAGAATAGGAGTTTTATTATTCTGTGAACTTAACATAAATACATCTCTGTTTGTTTATAACAATGTATAATTAGGATATTGATATTATATATTTCACAGAAAACCTCAGATATTTAAAAAATAGCTATTTTAAGTCAACTGTTCCATTGAAATATACATTTAAAAAGTCTCCAAGTCCTATGCAGCACCTGCATAAAATTTTACAAAGGTCCTACACATGTAACCCAGACCAAAAAATCATAAATAGGTGCTTTTTTAAAGCATGGTTTTACTCCCAGTATCAAGAGGTACTTTACATGTGATTGTTATATAAAATATTTCATGTGAATTTTATTTTTCATTCTGCAAAACACACTATTTCCATATTACTAAAAAACAAAAGCTTTCAGTGGCAGAATATGTCATATGCTAATATCTTGGAATTTTAAAAATGGTTTTTACTGTTAATTTTATTTCTTTGAAAATGACCTTATAATTCCTTATGAAGTGGTTATGGTAACTGTTGAAGGATGAGAGGGCGTTGTCTCGGTAAAACTTTGCTGTTTCATTTTTATATTAAACTTCCAAATGACATCCGCACACCTCGAAGGGAAATTCTTTCCCTGCACGGAGTCAGTACTAACCCTGCCTCTTCTAAACACTGCGCCCACTGTACCTCAATGCAGTGAGATATCTGTGTGTCTTGCGGTCAGAGGGAGGCAGATTAATAGGGAGTGCTAGCTGGAAATTTCTTCCCTGTTATTGTTCCCTCTCTGCAGCTGATGGCTAAGTTAATTCTCTTTAGTTTTGTCACGCTCTAAAGCACACATTGCCAAGCCATAGTAAGCTTTATGAGGAAAAAAAAGAAGCAATAGTGTCCATCAAAGTCTTAAAGTTGCATTTTTAAACTTTGGCTTGACCTGATGTGCCATTCAAAAAAGCTTCAAAAGATTATTTTTTAGAGAAAGGTTCAATATGTCCCGAGGCTATCGGTTTTGAGTTAAACTGGGTGAAGTAGAAATATTTTACTCATCAGCTTTGCAGTCACAGAGTTTGCCTCAGCTAGAACAAAACTGCTCAGGCATTTAGAGAAAATTAACCCCCCATCCTGGCGGCCAGATGTGACTCGTTTCTGATGAATGCACATGAGTGGGCTGAAAAATCAAGGGACTGTGAAATTCCTGTCAGGTCCGTACAGTGCAGAATGGGCCATTGACTGCTTTCTATATTTCCCTCCATCATTCTTCTTGAACACTGCCATTAATTTCCTCTCCTACTCTGACTTGTGTTTTTCCCCTCCCTCTTGCCTTTAGCTCTGTCAGCTGCAAAGAAGGCTACACGAGCAGTGGCAGGAGCACTTCCAACTGGTGGTCCTCTTCAGCCGGATGAAACTGGCCAAGCTCCAGAGATGCTCTCAGGAGACTGTTCAGAAAATATTAGCTGTGCAGGTAGGTGATTGCAGGGAAGTAGGAAAGATCGTTCTGATCTAGATTGAAAAGCAAATGATGGGTAGTGTGATGAAGCATTAAAACCATATCCCATCAGAGTTTTATAAATTTTTAACCTCTTTAATAAACTGGGATTGCATGAAGAATGAATTCAGTAAGTTAGCACATATACCATGCATGGTGGAAAAGAAAGAGCCGATTTATTTCTCACAAACCTCAGGATGGATTTTTTTTTAAATATCCTTGGTATAAATGTATTTTGTCAAATGTATGGGCTTTGCAGATGCCTTTCAGCTGTTTAAAAGATCAACATCTTAACTTGCAATTGTTGGGCAAAATTTGCGTCAGTGAGAAGTTCCTTTCTGTTTATGTTATTTAGCTACTGCCCTCCTATTTTTCAGGAGGGAAATAGGAGGAAAAATAGGAAACCCTCCTATTTTTCAGGAGGTTTGTTCTCCCAAGCAGATTTGCAGGTAACTGACTGAAAAATAAGCCACTTTGGCTTAGAAAGTAGTTGTGACTCTAGGTGCATGTGACTTTTTATTACCTGTATTTAGATCTGTGAAAACAATTAGTGGGTCAGTTCATTGCCTGTAAGTCTGAAATAATTGTGAACCCCAAATTAACTTTGTGCAGACCAACACTGAAATATTACTTAAAATTGCTTCCAATTAATATTTTACAATTTCAGATGTTACAAGATTGGTTAAAGATGATGTCCCCAGGGAAACACACACACACACACACACACACACACACACACTTTTCTACTAAAGAAAACCAGAATGCCCCTTCCATGAAAAATGAAAATAACGCATTTTAAGACTACAATGTTCAGTAAGTCACAGCACAAGCGAGAAAGACTGAACCCCAAACCATGCATGTCTTTTTATAAACATTTAGTTACACTTTGTTTCTTTTGCTACAGTAGAGAAATATTTTGCAGAGCATTTCTAAACCTACTAATCTCTTTCTGATTTCCTTTTTGCTGATGTCTACTTTTAGTATTTTCTTCTGAGGAATATGTATGCGTGTATGCATGTGGGTGTGTGTCTGCTGTACATATGGCTTTTGTGAGAATGAATCAAAACAAAGTATGGAAGCAACAGGAGAAAATTAAAGGTAAGTTTTGAAAAGGTAGTAATTATGTATAGGTTAACAGAAATGTGCATACAGACGGGAATACAAACCACAACTGGATTGGTTTGGAAATCAGAAGCACCCAGTTTTCCTTAAAAATGTCTATAAACACATAATACACTAAAAATTACTTGAAGTCCCAAGCCTGGTGGCACAAAGCTGTAAACACAATATGAGAATCATGAGTTGAGATCAGGCTGGGCTATATAGTCTTAGTTTAAAAGTGAGTTTAAGGCCCACTTGATCTATGTAGTAGGACCCTATCTCAAAATCAAACAAACAAAATTATGGGTGCCTATGACTTGTGATTCTGTTTTAGGTATTCAGGTGTTATCTATGTGTTCTAATTAGTGTCTTGGAAAATGTCCATATTTCTACTAAAATATAAATGTTCTTAAATGTCTTATAATTGGTAAATTCTTACCTGAGTCAAAATGTATCTTTCAGACATCAAAGATGTCATTCAAATATTCTTAAAGTGAATTCCTAACCCAAAGTCTTCCATAAGCCTTAATTTTTCATCAGGAATTCAATCTTTTACTAACCAAATCTTGATTTTAAATGGCTTATCCATATGACTGTTGCATACGATAAAAATTAAGGGACAGGGACAGGCTAGAGTGGGTGACAACTTGACTACTAAGGACCTAGAAATGCATTAGCAAGCTTCAGTTGTACTTAGGAAACTCGAGGAGCATTGATTAATGGTTCTTTTGTTTATCTACATGAGACACTATCAGTTTAGTATATTTTAATTCTAGCCTTTAAATAATAATATAAAATATAATTTTCATGATAATACCACAAAACTATGGAAACGTGTAATTCTGTAGGGAGAGAAATCAAGTCCAAAACCTTCAGCGTGGCACACAGTGACTTCTGTGACCAGCTCCTGCTAACTTTCTGGGCTTCATTTCCTGCCATCTGTTTCAGCTATTCCAGAATTCTAAGTCATGAAACTTGCTGTTCAAACTCCTTTCCCCTCCTATTTTTGTATTCTTCCTTCTACAACAGTCTTCTTTGTCTTACCTGTTTAAAAACACCTGACGCAATCCAATCACCTATTCTGTCTTTTCCCAACCTGCTTCTGTCACATACATTAATTGTTGCCTTTCTTACCTCTTACTGGACCCTAGACACGACATTATACTGCAGCTGGATTTTCAGCTCTTAATTCTCCCAGCTTGATGCTGGACCCTCCTTCTTAACAGTTCCTAAGCTCTTTCTGCCCTTTATACTATGAGAGAAATTCGTTTAATCTCCCCTCGGTTGTTCTGAGGGTGGATAATAGCAGGGTGGATAAGGGAGTAAATTGGGTAGCTCCAAGCCCCTCTCCACTTTTCCTTTATTATCTTCAATTTATTAAAAGAAAAGCATGATAGTGATTTAATATATTTGGAGAATCCATGGGTATCAGTGTACACAGCTTGATTCAAAGTAGCTAAACATCGCTTAACAGACCAAATGTTATTACTTCCCATTTCCATCAGATTTCCCCTGCAATTTCTTTAAGTATCAGTGTTTGGAAATTTAATTAATGTTTTATATTTTCAAGCAAGTATTAGAATAATGCCATCAGATATTAGTAAACTGTTAGATAAGAATATTAGTTGGTGAACCTCCTGAAACATTAAATGCATACAACAGATTATTGAGTAAAAGCAATCTAAATGAATGTTAGACAGGAAAAGTATGCTTGGCTTCAACCTGGGACTTCAATTCATGGAGCAATTCTTTGAAAGCCCAGAAACAGGCAGAGATTACAAAGCTGTAGTTGGTAGAAACTCAGGTGAACCATGTAAGTGTTTGAATTATACAATCAAGCAGAAACCAATAAGATGAACGATAAATAGAATGAAGAATTGACAGGTTTTACTTTGCAACTGCTTGTATGAGAAAGATTTGGGGATTTTAGTTGACCACAATTTTAATATGAGCCAAAGTAAACTACTACAAAATTGGAGCCAACGCCACAACATAGCTATATATGGCAATCATTTAAGAATTTTTGGCTCTCTCAGTGAATGGTATATTTAGTGCTATTATTACTTAATTTTTACTCTCATTTTTCTTTTTTATTTTCAATTTAATTGTTACTATCATTTTTCTTTTTATTTCCAATTTATTTAATCTCATGATACGTAATATCTTTCTGGTATTGTATTGGGGGAGACTAAGCACTAGAATCATTCATATGAAAGAACATGGTGCAGCTAAAACATATTAGTGTCGCTTTAGTCTATTTCAGCAGAAATTCTTTTGTTTGGAAGGAGATGATAAGTCCCACTGAATTTTTCTTTGAATTGAATAAATATGAAGTATTCATACAGTTTGAACAATGAATTTGAGCAGTGTAGGTTAAGGGCCACATAACATTCCAGAGAGCAACAATTTAAGGAAGAATGGGGAGAGGAGAAATAAAGAACATTTGGAATGCTTAGCCATAGCAGGGAAAAGCTTTGGAAAGAAAAATACCTGAACCACAACAAACAAAAATTGACATATATTTTGATGAGTGCTAATGTAAATAGTGAGAGCAAATGATAGAAGAGGTTCAAAGAGGGGTTTGAACTCAACAGGATTAATGATCTACCAAGTATGGTTTTCCAAGCATGCACTAATGGTGTTCAAACACAAAGTATAAAACATGGGCCAGAAACATTGGGGGAAAGGTAATGCAGTACTCAGTGGGGAAGTGAACAATCCAAGAGTCAGCCCAGGGCACCTGCTTGGGCTTGTGCTTCTAGAATATTCCCATGACTTCCGTGCACACACATCTCTGCCTGCATCTCTGCCTGCTCACCTGCTAGCATGCTAGCCTTTGGAGGTCAAAATTATATGGGGTTTTTTCTTCATCTTTGTCTTCCTGGAAACACCTACATTTTTGTAATATGGTAAGTACAAAAAGTGTTCAGTTAGTAAACTGATTAATTAGTGATGATGATAACCTCAAAGGATTTTTGCCAGTCTAGGCATCTATAATTTTGTAGGTTAACAAATAAAAACACTCACTAGTTGCTTTGTGAGGAATTCTGATGGCATAGAAGCAATCTATTCAGTCATCTGATGAACACATGCACACACACACACTCACATACACACACACAATTTACCATTTACACATAGGGACAGCCCAGTTTCCTATGAATTTGGAAGGTGACAGGACAAATGAAGAAAAGCTGAAATATTAGGACTAAGATCAAAATCACTTAGCAATATGATATGAGAGAAAAACTCTAAAATTTGTTATTTTTTGAAGACAAAACAGTATGTTTTTGGAAAATATATATATTTTAAGACATTATGCTTGGACACTACATATTACAAAAAAAATTTGCTGGAGGAATAACATTAAATTGCTAAATCTCACTAATTCTAGGAAGTAACACAATGATATTCCAATATGGCTATAATAATTTAAGAAAATCTAAAGTGCGTCACACTGCAACTAATAGAAGAATGACATAGTACTATTAAAAATTGAGTACCTGGAAATATAGGAAAAAAGAAGGAAAAATATTAAACATTTAAAATAAAGTCAATATGTTAGTGATTATAATAACTGCAAATAGCCAGACGTGGGGGCACATGCTCATAATTCCAGTACTCAGGAAGCTGATGCAAGAGATTGCCACCAGTTTGAGACCAACCTGAGTTACATAGTGAGTTCAAGACCAGCTGAGACTACACAAGGAGAGCCTGTCTCAAGAAAACTACAATTAAATAAATACTTGCAAATGGTTTCCTTATACAATTAAAAGCTACAGATTCATAGACTAGTTAAAGCAAAATTTATGCACGTTATTTAGAAAAGATCCACTTGAGACAAATAGAAATAGTTTTAAAAGCCTGGAAAGAAA